TGCACGAATTTCTTGAAATACCTCATGCGGAGAAAGATAAAATCGAAAAGGTAATTTGAGATCACCTCTGGAGGTGGGCTCAAAAAGGGTCCTCCGGCGGCCCCACAGACTGCTGACAAAAGAGGGTCACCAAAAAGTACATTTGGGTTGTGGGCCTCTCCCATGTAACCCGAAAACTGCCTCTAATTTTGTGATTCAAGGTCATTAAGGTCATTAGCTCCCTGTGTGAGTATGCCCTCAATGCTCACCAATACTCTGTCTTCAACTTTTCATTTTTGCAGCCGCTGATTGTTCTTCTTCTTCCCTTACATTGTTATATTAAACCACCAGTACTTGGCCCAGCTATTGGCCACGGAAAAAATAAAATAGAGGAGAAACGCTTCTAGTTGGATGAATTTGGGCGCTTCTGTAGTGGCCGTTCGTTTCCTAAAGTCGCGGCTTGTTTACAGACACTACTTTAGGAAGTACTGGTGGTTTAAAGGTCTCGCGCTGAGTTCAGATTCTGCCTCCATGGCTTAATTCTAGAGATTGTGTGAAGTCTACTCGATATTTCCAGAATTCCTCCATCCTGCAATTCATTCGCTGCTTGCTGTTCGGGGTTAAATCCACGAGTACACGGCCCCAGCCTTACAGAAAGTTTGTGTTGCCACAAGCAAAACTCGGAGGGGCCGCGCGGCGTGGGCCACCGTTGAAAAAAAAAATCGACGGCCTCCGAAGTGGTGCGGGTTTCGTGCTGACACCCGCGGGCCTATGCGTGGCGTACTGGTGCTTTAAACCACCAGTCCATTCCAACGCTAAATTGGCAAACAAGAAAATGCATTTTTCCAGGCCTGCTTTCGACCGCGGTACCACGAATCAGCTAATGTAAGGTGGTACCGGTACCAACAACGTGTGGGACACAAAGGACAGGCAGGCAGGACTCATCATCGTGGCACTTCCGTTGTTATTGTGGTCCCACCATCCCACCAGCCCACCGAACCTCTACCGGTCCTGGGCACTGTAGACCTTGGCCTCTACAACCAAATCTGCTTTAGAGCTTTTCAATCACTCCATTCATTGATTTGTTCCACCGTTTCTCGATTTGTGTGTGTCACATATATCCTTACGCGTGAAGTTAGCAGCGATTCCAATTTTAACGTACGGGCCAAAGAACCTTTTGAAGTCCCTTCTCCCCCCACCCCCCTCTATTTTCAGCTGTCGATCTATCTCATAACAAATCCATCCAACAACTTGCCCATAATTTTTTTCTCTGAAGAAAAAAAGAAGATCACTCCACTTATTCCCAATTCCTCATAGAAAAGATTTGTGGGTTAAACCACCAGTACTTGGCCCAGCTATCGGCCGCCCAAAAAGATAGAGTAGAAACGTTTCTAGTTGGATGAATTTGGGCGCTCCTGTAGTGGCCCGTACGTTTCCTAATATCATGGCGCGTTAACGGGCACGACTTTAGGAAGTACTGGGGAAGTTCCCAGGGCAATCAATGCTGGCAGGAACCCCCCCACACAACTGTTTTTTCTGATGTATTCCAAATTCAGTCTGTACAAGGGCTGTCTCTTATACACATCTAGATGTGTATAAGAGA